AAAATAATGAAACTGTTGCCATGGCTTGTATTAATAGAGGACTCGACTATTTGAAAACAGCCGTTGAATCTTTGCAGGGAGTGACTGATTTTCAATATCACAGGAATTTAGAAGATATAGTTCATCACCTTAAACAAATAGTCGGTAACAAAAATAGCTGATATATTCTCGAATTAGGTACTATTGTTATGAGGTCAGTCATCATCGTGCTATAATGTATTACACGAATACTTCGTTTTGCCTCACAAGCGGTACCTCTACAATCTTTAGAACTGAGTTCACAATCAGAAGATAACAAAAATTACTTAGTAAATGTTTCAAAGACTCTATCAGAGGCTGAAAAAATTGTAGTCCTTCAAATATATGAAATTTATATTGCACTGCGATTATATTATCGTGGTAACTCAATTACAGGTATGGCAGTAAATAGCAGTAAATCTGATACTAATGACAGAAAAAACTGCCCTTACCTTTATGGTGTCTTCTGCATGTGGGAAATTAGCAGAGGTAGTTAGGATGTTTCCTGTGAATAATATTAAAGGACCAGAATTAACTATATTAATTGACAAGTGCATACGCGGCCTTGAGGTTTTATGTGTAATAGCTGATAACATTCTGTTAACAGATTTGCTTTCAAAAAACTGAGTCCAAGCTACACTATTGACAAACCCCAATTTCCTGGAAAAAAAAATATTTCCACTTTTTGATTTTGTCCATATATTTAAAAATGTGTGGAAAAATTGGATTAATTTGAAAAATATTGACCAAACTTTTACCTATTGGAGTTTTGAATGCTCATCTTCCACAGAAAATATAAAATATGCTAAATTACAACATTTAAAACAATTTTATGAAAAAGAAAAGAATGGTGAAAACAAGCATATAAACTAAATCAAGTCGCTATACCCCTTAGTGTTAGATAGGCAGAAGTTTCCATTAGCTGATAACATTTTCCATTCGTCAACAATAGCTGCATTAAGCAGTGTTGAAAATTATACTGAGACTGCTGATTTTCTACAAATTATTAGATCATGGTGGGATATTATGAATAATAGACATGCTATTTTTAATTAATAACAGTAATGTCTTTATTTGGGCATTGTACAAACGAACAACTGATGGAAAAGGAAAATAGATTGCTATACGTAAAAATCATCCAGAAAAAAAAACGCTACATGTAGGTTCACGAAAAACAGAAGTGTTTTTTTGTGTTCTTTCATTTAACCCAAAAAAATATAGTTAACAATGAAGTAATAGATGATCAGAGTTCTAGAATAATTCAAAGTACCACTCTAGCTTTTAATCTATCCGTCGGAAAACGTCCGGTAGCGATCTCTTACTTTCACGTTAATCTTTTCTGCGTGGGTTCAAACGAAACTACGCCAACGAATATTATTAGATACGTTTTATCGCAGATTTGCTTTTATGCATATAATTTCTTTTACAAGATTTTATGGTACTCAGGAACTTGATTAACCAAACGGCTTTTTGACCTAAATTAAATCGAACCGTTAATCTGCTTCAGATATTTCATACATTGCCAAATAAAAATGTTAACCCAGACGACTTACATAACGTGGTTCAAAACCAAATGCTGCACACTTAGTGCCCGAACAAAAATGATCATCTTGAATGACAACTTGGACCACGCACTTAGCGGTCTAGTGGCCCAACACCCAATACTTTAGACTCTTACACAAATCTCTACTCTAATTACAAATTATCCGCAAAATGGTGCTAAGTCCACCACCTTTAATCATGAATGAAACGGGCTGGTTCATCCCCACGAATCAATAGTGGTAGAAGACCGTTCACTAAAAGCCCACGGCCGTTCGATGTTGCAAATTCAGCGCTTCACGTGCAAAATATCATTCTGCGTAATCCTGACTGGGCTGTTTTGGGCACGTACACCCTATTAAGATTTTATTATCGCTCGCTAACGGCCGACCGACTGTCTCCAGTAACTGTCCGAAGCCATTAACTGTTCACGATGCCCATGGAAACCAGTGATCCATAAAAATACAGATCGCCAATTTGGCAGCTGACTAATAAAAATTTGGAACTTATAAATATTCTGTAGAAACTAACCCTCCTATTGGTTTACTCATTAAAATCGAATACCTTAAACAAGACAACCCTGATGAAACTTCGAAGTTGATGAAATATTAAAGCTTTGTGTCTAGCTTTGTGTAGTACTTTTATCTGGTAGATTAAAAACGAAGGTCTCGCCGAGTAGGCGAAACGTCTTTGGGAAATCACCACGAAAAACGGTCACATCAGGGAAATGGAACAGAATCTAAATGCCTAAATGAGACTGTCTTGTTATAAGTGACAAGCATAAACTAATACGCGCTTCCTCGAACTTCGAACTTCACTTTTACACACGAGGCGTAGGGTAAGGGTGTAGTGAGTATGCTGAAGGTGAGTGATTTAGTTTTTCCACGAGTACTGTATAGCATTTTGTTCAATTCTACTAAAAATTAAGTTTATTATGAATCATTTTTATTAGTATTTAATCGTTGTTTATGAAGAAAACATAGTTGCTAGTTTTCGTTATTATGGTTCTCATGAAACCATCATGAAAGAACCAATAATTTATTTGACAATCTGTTAACAAACTATAATTTGATATAAGTTTTGAATTAATTGGAATTAGGTCTGATTTTGACATTGTAGTGCGGTAGTATTGGGGTGGTCGAAGAAAGAAATACCAAGTTCTGGATGAAATGCAAACACTCGCTTTCGAATTGAAGAGGCCTCTACGATTGGTTGGAACCTTGTATCTAAAATGGACTTTTCCTTCACCTACCAATCACGGTCGAGTACGGTACAATCGTCCCTTGATGCGACACGATTGTCTTTTTTGCCTGAACGAATCTTGTATGGAAATAGTTGGAATGGGCAAAGCAAACTTTCACATTTGGTACCTAAGTAAAAAACACTTGCTTTCAATGACATGATTGAACAAAACAAGTTTCAAATATCTACCACTTTATAAACACAAATTTCATGAACCCATACAAAATCAACTTTGAATGAATGAAACTGTAAACCTTCCTTTCACGGGTTTTATTACAAGAAACATTTCCCATTGCGACTCAAATTCTAAAGGTTTACTTAGATTAATTTGACACGCAAAAAAACTCTCTCAATGAGACTCTGAACGTAAACTTAGTTACTACTAGTTATTACATTTTACATTCTTATATGGAAGCTGGCATAAATTTGAGTATGTATAGATACATTTGAATATGCAAACGAGTACAAATATACGAAGTTACACCAATTGAATCATTATGTACTATTCGCGAGCGTTTAAATTAATTATTACTTCGTAGAGTTCCCAGACGTCTGTTATTACGCTTATGTTTATTCTACTTATGCCCGGTTTCACAAACGATAATTAACGTGAACCAATGATTAAAAGTATGAATGTTTACCATTATAATATTTTTAGTCACCCAATCATTTTAACAATCGCCGCTTAAAGTTATACTATATTCAAATATCAACGTTTCTTTGTAAGCCGAATCCTAAGACGACTTATTAGAAAGGTATATACATTCTGTATGAAACTCTTTGTATAAGTTATGGCGATCAATTTGAACTAATCTCATCACCGAGGCAAATCGACTGTCTCGTCAAAAACCATGCCTCCCTTAGTCCATACGTTAAACCTGATCGATTCTCATTATTTCTCGTTCAAGTAAACTGCTATCAAACTAATTTACCCGGAGATGGTCGTAATTTTTGTGTATCAATGGCGAAACTCTATTTAACGGACGTGAAAATATCCGGAGTATAAACTGTCCGTGTTAATTTAGGTTACTAATTGGATAGTGCCAATATCCGCCATTTCATAATTAAATTACAATCTTAATTTTTACGTTAAAGGGGCTATCTGAAAAATCCATTCACGCTAATGCATTATTCAGTTAATTGTGTTTCACAAACTTCAGCTTATTTCTATCTATACATATTCTTTGAAGGTATATAGCTGTTAGGTATGTGTGTTAAATTCCTTTGTATTCAAATTAATATTTCGAAAAACTTGTTATTTACTTGTTATCAGTGAAGTTTTAGAGATAATGAGTTGTTATACACGTGAGAAAGTTTTTCAGTTACAAATGTTACGATCGAAAAACTTGAAAAGGTGTTCAAAATTTCCTTCAGTGGAAATCAAAGTTAAGACTTTTGTGGAGATTGAAAGCCTCTAAGTTTCAAATATAGCAGGGTATACATGGAATGAATTCCATCACCGTTGACGTAGCACAACTTCTATCTATGGCTATAGCCATCGGAATCAAACAAAATCTCGATGATGTCGGTTTGTCGGTCCATGTGTACTCATTCTCATTTCCGGCTAAACGGCTGAACCGATTGGAACCCAATTTGCTATACATATTCTTAGACATAATAGGACAGAATCGCCCATGCGCAGGTGCGCAAATGGTATCTGCGCTTGCCACAGCAAATTTTTTTTAGGCAACACATTAGCATTTACATATTAAGGCTGGGATTGCCTGAAAAGAGAAGTACCCATAGTAAAGGACAAAGATTTTTTCGTTAGAATGTGCTGGTACCTAATAATGAATAGCGTAACTACAGCAGTTTTCTATACAAATATTTAAATCATTATACT